TTCTCCTAGCCAGCTGATAGAACCATTGCTTTTATCTACTTCCATTACAACCATGATTCCCAAATTTTCCATTACATAATTTAAATAGAAATTCTACAATAGCCTTTTTTCTCTTACTCCTTTCGCAAAATAAGCTTCTTGGACAGAAAGAAATAGTAATAAGGAAGTCATTAACTAGCATCTAGGTCAGGACTGAAGGAGAAAGAGAGAGAGAGAGAGAGACATTGAGAGAAAGGGAAAACCAGTGAGAGAGAGAGAAAGAGAAAACCAGTAAGGAAAGAGGTTTTCATTCATTTTAGGAAAGTTTTAACAAATCTTTTCCACTTTACCTAGCAGAGTGTCTCTCCCTCTCTCTATTCTCCCTATTATTAGAGAAATTGAATACATTCACCTATGTTCTGATTGCTTTACATTACTGAAATTATTTACACCAACTTATTTTATAGTTTCACTTTATTTCCATTCGTTTTTCAAACTTTCCTGACATCTGTTGGTTCAATCTTTGTCGTCGTGGTTGTATTTTTTTCTCCTTACTTTTATTTTTCTGGTCTTTGATATTTTAACGCACAAATTTAAACTTCTACTTTTCTATCAATATCTGGCACATTAGTGCCTCTAGTACTCTGCCAAATGATACAAGAATCTTAGAACATTTTACTTACATGCTCTTTAACTCTAACCCACCATCTCTCATGCCAACATCACCTGGGATATTCATTCTAAACTGATATTATTTTTTCTAATCAATACATTTCTATTTAAAATATTTCCTGTTTTGCTTTATTTTGTGCTCTTGCTACTTACTATATTTCTTTCTTAACTCATGTCTTCCCCTGTTTGTTTTCCTGAAGAACAGCTTCTAGTTCTTTTAACAGCTTCTAATTCTTTTAGACACTGTCATGTGAAATAATGTTTTGAAGCCTGTATTAGTTTCCTATTGCTGCTAGAACAAATTACCATAAACTTAGTGGCTTAAAATAACAGAAATTTATTCTGTCACAGTGCTGGGAGGCAGAAGTCTAAAATGGGTCTGCAGGGCTGCATTCTTTCTGGAGGCTCCAGGGGAGAATCCCATTTCCTTACCTTTCCAGTTTACAGAGGCCACCTACATCGTTTGCCTCATGGCTCTCTCCCCCCATCTTCAAAGCCAGCAGTGTAGCCTCTTCAAATATCTTTGTCTCTGTGTCTTCATATAACTTTCTTTTGACCTTCTTGTGTTCCTCTTAAGGGACCTGTGATTACATTCAGCACCTACCTGATCCTACATTTAGCACAATGATCTCCTCATCTTGAGCTTCGTAATTTAATCACATCTGCCCAAGGCGTTTTTGCCATATAAGGTAACATTCATGGATTCTGGGGATTAGGATGTGTGTATATTGGGAGCCATTATTCAGCCTACCACAGTTCTTTTGCCCAAATGAGCACATCTCTTTGTAATCTCTTGTGTAAATGAGAGATTGGCTGAATGTACAGCACAAATTCAAGTTTTTCTTTCAAAATCTTGTATTTTATCTTAATATCTTCTTTTAGGCTGTTAGTGTGAAAGGTGGAGTCATCCTGGTGAGGAATTGATTTTACTGTTAACAATGATTATCTTTGGTGCATCAAGTCTTCAAATTCCATTAATGGAGGGCTGTGGTTACCTGAACTTTTTCAGTGTCAGTGCCTCACCCTCAGCTTTCCATTGTCCCTGCTCACTTCTAGAAAAGTTATCAGTCTGTAGTTTATTCACTTTTTCTTACTGTTAAGGTGGTATTGCTTTAGCCTTTCTACGTCCTAAGCAACAGCAGAAGGCTCCATGGACCTTTCATTAAGAAAATCCACTCAAAATTTAGAATGCTATGTCCATAACAGCTCCAGGGCCCATTCTACAATGAGTCACAGCCTTAGTTATCTATTGAATTTAATCTAAACTGAAATCAAACAAATTCCACTTGGAGGACTTAACTAGTTTTATTGCATAGTTGCCCTTGATGCCCTATCATTAGATTGCTTCATTTATATTACTTCCTAGTAAGAGCAAAGCAAATAATTCTCCCTGGATTAAAATTAAAATTAAGCAAATAATTCTCCCTACCTTCTCAGACATAAAATTATATTTTCTCATGTAAAATTGTATACCTAATTCAGGATAGAGACAGAGATATAGATATCCAGCTATCAGTTTTACTTTTTTTTTTTAACTAATTTGTTTTTCACTTGTTTCATAATTTCTGTAATGTGGGTCAGTGTTCTGCATCCTGGATAAAGTTATGTTGAACAAAAATAGCATCTTGAAATACTATAACAGACTCCTTATATAGTAAGGTACACTTAATTTTAGACTGTGATACAATCAACTAATCTTATAATTACTTTTATTACAACAAAATGGCAAGGGTAAAGAGTGCAATTATAGATGATGAGGTGTCATTGAATGCTTATGGTCGGATCTGCTAGCATAATGCAGTCTGCACTAACACTGAAAAATCCTTTTGAAAAGCATTCCCATTACATTATTAGAAATAAATTAACTTAGACACTTAAGCCTGAGATTTTATGTGTGATCTGTGACCTTGATGTGTGACCTTGAGTAAGTCACTAAACCTGTCTGGACCGCTCGTTTCCCATCTTTTAAGATCCCTTGTGGTGCTATGACTTGGGGTAAAGTTAGCCAATAAAATAAAAGATTATTTACTGCTTTTTTGTGCTTCTTTTTACTCTTTTCTGTAAACTGTGATGACTAAACTCAAGCCAGGATCCCTTAAAGCCTCCTCAGAATTGCATAATTTTGTATACTTCCCATTACATGGGTCTGTTTTTTCTCATGTTAGTTTTCTCTAAGGAGTGTGGATTTTGGATACCCAACAGAAGTATTTACACTGCAGGCCTGCTTGAGAGTGGAAAAACATTGTTGGATTCCCTTCCTACTCTACCTTCCCCCTCCCCAAATTTCTTAGAGGTACAATAGGAAGAAGCAATTTTATTGCACTTAGTTTATCCAACCAAGTGAATGGACAGTTAGGTTGGAGAGCTCTGCTTATGGTCCTGAGGTCCCCTTGGGCTTTGTTGTGAATAAATAATGGCATTGTTTATAGATTTCAAAAAGATCCAAGGAACACAAAACTGCACTGCTTTCAAATTATTTCAAGAATGAGTTCTGGGTGAATGGACTTTCAGGGTGAATAATGGGTTAGTCAGGGAAGCAGGAGTAAGACATGCTGAATCTTTGATTTGGAGCTTGGAAGCACTGAGAGGCACGGAACTGGTCCAAACTGGAATGACTTGAGCATAACCTTGAAAGGTCTGAGATGGGATCAGTAAGAAAGAGTCCATGAGGACAAGATCATCTAGACTTAGAACACAGGGGTGAGAAGTAGTCACTCAGAAGTTGCTTTTTAAGGCTTCTGAAAATTCTGCATGTATTCACATTTTATAAAGTTCTGAGTTTCTATCTGCTCATGGTTTTATGGTATGAAAATTATTCTGTTAGATCTATTTATATAGTATGTCAACACTTTGTCTGTTATATACTTTCTGAATATAATCCCAATTTTATTTTTTGCCTTTGAGAGTTATGGTATTTTTTACTAACAAAATTATAATTGTATGTGTTAGTATTTGTAAGTATTTTCCGTTTTGGTCTGTGACTTTGCTGCTATGTTTAGAAAATCCTTCCCACTTCTCTAAAATCGTATAAATCTTTTACTTTATCATCTCCTACCACATTTTTTTTATACATTTAAATGTTCAAACTGCTTTGTAGGCATTTGGTGTATGATGTTAGATGATGAAGATTAACAAATTGTCCCAATTACGTTTATTAAATAAATAGTTCTGATCTTTTCCCCATGAATTTGAAAGGTCATCTATATTATATACCAAATTCTTATATATCTTTGTGGTCCCTTATCTGTCTTGCTGCATCATTGCTTGCTTTATAATCATTTTGTTCCCCTGTATGGAAAGTTCCCTGCAAAGGTAAATTTTTATTACCTATTATTTTTAATCAAATTTTGTTGGTGCTTCCCACAAGCATATTACTTATTTCAGATAATCCTTAGAGTATTTTGATGTGTATATTTAAAAATCTATTCATGTGTAAAATACTCAGTTAAAACCACTTATATTATTAGTTCTGACTCGAGATAGCAACGTTTAAAAGAAAAATCAAATGAAAACAAGCTTAACCATATTCAGTTTTCTTTGCTAATCTGAAAGCCCTTATTAATGAGTTTATTATTTTACTTATATGGTTTACTTCCAGCAAAAGTATGCACAAATGGCCCTAAACGTTTCTCTCCAAATTAAACAATTTACCCCTTTCTGATAGCCAAAATGTGTAATAGTGCGGAACTGGTAGACGATTTATTGCAGCTGCTTTTGCAAAGCAATTATGTCACCAATGTACTTATTTACAAGCAATTACATACCACTGATAGCTTCATCCTGTTGTGTTCTTCTGACATTTCTGGTAGAATGAGGAGGCAGCTATCTTACCTGACACAGTTTGAGAGGTACAAAGAATATCTCTACGCAAAAAACACCTCCCAGTCTGATGCCTTCTCTTTTTATGTGTGTTATATTCCCTTCCTCTAGCAGAGCCCATCGATTTCTAATTACTTAGTATGAAGGAATGTACCATACAGCCATACCAATGAATGTATCATACCACTTTTCTCCCGAGAAAATAGGAAGGGATAAGGAGACAGTGAAAGTAGACAGGAGGAACAAAACTCCAAATTCATCTACTTCATCATTTTGCCTGGCGGTAAAACAGGTTCAAGTTTTGCTTAAATTCCACAATCACCTATATCAACTTTGCACAAAACTTTCATTAGAGTTTGCATTTTTATCCCTTACTATTCTAAAATCAGGTATTTTCCTTTTCAGCTTTTGATGGGAATGTAAAATTTTCAAGTTTCCCTGGAGAAAGTGTCATGAGTGAACTATAAACTAAAAACTAGGAGTTCTCTTATCTTTGGATATGAAATAATTGTTATTCTTTTCCTTTTCAGTTTCTTCTTTGTGGCATATGTGGAATATTGTGCGCCAAAAAAAAATCTGGACTTGTCGTAAGTTTTTGCCTTGTTTGTATTGTGCATTGAAGTGTCTGAAATGTAAGAATTCAAAAAGGGAAATGATGACTAGCCAACTTTCATACCCTGAATATTACTCATTTAGGATAAAAAGAAGACTGACACATAAATCCTGGCTTTTTTCTTTTCAAAGAAAACCATCAAGATTATTATAGACTCTGACAAAAGAAAGGAGAAGCTTTGATATACTCTTTAAATACATGAATCTGCAACCCTTAATGACCGCTGTGATGGCAGTCTCCACTTTTCGTTTATAGATTCCCAGACACTCACAAGAATCCTTCATTGAGCTGAAAAAGACAGAGCTTGAGTTCATGGGAAATTTAACTGTTTAGATATGGAGCTGGGCCTAAAGATTACTAGCCTTGACTGTGAAGTTAATTTTGCAAAGCAGCAAAACAGCTGTGTTGTTATAGTTGTAGTTAATTCCCAAAGGTTTTTAATTTTATTTTATTTTATGACTGTGAATGCAAATGTAAGCGTTCTCAGAAGTTTTATGGTACTGCTGTGGGTTTTGGGGGTTGTGGAATACACTCCCAGTTCACTCTGATATTGGCTGGAGGAGGATTTCTGTGTGCTGCAGTGTGGATTCCCTACTGTCTTTCATGACATTTTTTGAGAGTTAGAAAGTAGGAAAAAGCATGTTTATTTTTTTGAGGACAATAGGAAATATCACAGATCTTTATAAGTTGGCAAAATATATTGTACATGGACCCTAGAAAGTGGTCTTTGAGACTGAAAAAAGGAGAAGGGGACCAGGATACCAGGGAAGGGGAAGTATTGCAGTCATTTGTTCAACTCCTTTTTCTAATCACAGTTTTCTTTGTGAGAATACCTACTGCGACAAAAAGGGTGAAGCCCCCATTGCTTTAGATATGTGAGATGTAATTTTAAAAAATTACATTAAGGGAAACCTTTGGATAAAAATTTTTTTGGAGGCTTGTAATTTGCATTTGTGATTCTCCCATCACTCTTTACTATGGTTTGCTTTCTTTCTACGCTTTTCCTCTAGCAAAACTCTTCATGGCTATATAGTAACAATTTCTTGGAACATGGATGAAAGAAAAGGAAAGGAATAAAGGAGAGAAGGAACAAAAGAAGGAAAGAAAGGGGGAGGGAGGGAGGGGAAGTAATGAAAAGGGAGGGAGAGGAGAGGGAGAAAGGAGGAAGGGGGAGGGGAGGGCCAGGGAGGGGAGACATCTAAGTCAGTCTGGGCTGCTGTAACAAGGTACCGTAGACTGGGTGGCTTACAAACAACAGAAATTTATTTCTCACAGTTCTGGAGGCTGGAAGTCCCAGATCAGGGTGCCAGCATAGTTGGATTCTAATAAGACTCTCTTCTGGGTTGAAAATTTCTGGCTGTGTTCTCACGTGGCAAAAGAGGGAAGCGGGCTCTCTAGAATCTCTTATAAAAACAGGGACCCCGTTCATGAGGGCTCCACTCTCATGACCTAATTATCTCCCAAAGGTTCTGCCTCCAAATACTATAATATTGGGGATTAGGCTTCAAATATGAATTTTGGAGGGACACAAACATTCAGTTCATAGAAGAAGGGAAGGGAAGGGATTTTTTTAAAGGCCACTAGCATCTTTTCTGTTTTCCTAATTCTCTTATAAGTTATAAAAAAAAAATTATAAGATCTAAGCTTTTTAGAAACTACCATCCACTTTATCCTCCTGTACCATCTGAGGTTCCCATAGATGACATTAACTGTCTAAGATTCTCTACCCTTTAATCAAATTGTGTGAAAATTTCTCCACTCCAAATAACTCTAAAGTCTAGAATCTCTAGTCTGGTAAGATTTAACAATAGTATATGGTTATAAACTTGGTACAGATTTTAACGTTTTAATTCCTGAGTCAGAATGTTCTGTCTGCACATGTTAATGAAGTGTCATGCCTTTAAGGAATTAATGGCAATAACATCAGGAGAGATAGTGTTTTCCTGTAATAGTCTATTAAATTTGTTATTTATTTTATTAATTAACAGTAATTCATTATTTGAAGGCTAGAATGTAATATCTTTCCATATTTTCTGGGAATGAGTAAACACCAAAATATATTTCCAAGAAACAGCATGTCATTTGAATATACTTTAGAAGGAAATATAACTGATTGATTCTATTTGACATTGGGAGCTACAATTTCCCACTTGGGGTGATTCGTTGATTTGGTAATTGACATTCAATGCTATATTTCATCAACCATTAGAAGATTATACTCATCCATCACTGGGTTTTCAGTTTTGGTGATAAGTACAGAAAGACAGACACAATCAGGAATGCTGAATTAAGTTAGAGAAAGAAAACAAACTACCTGTAGTTCATTCTGCCCATTGTTCTATTTCATACATCCATGGCCTTACCCTTTGCTGGGAACTACATGCACTTAGCTTAGATGAACTGTTGTCAAGGAGGCCTTGTCTGAAACCCCTGGTTGGGCTACATTCCCCTGCTCCGTACTCCAAGGGCTACCTTTCATCCTTCTTTCTTAATATTTGCCATAATATGTTGGAACATTGGATCTTCTCTCACACAAGGCTGCAGTGTTCTCAAGGGGAATAACTATGAGCTGTTCTTTTTTTTGTAATGACAACTGCTGCCTCACTCATGGCCTAACAGATGCTATGTGCTCATTAAGTGTTTGCTAAAGTCAACTAACTGTCAACAGAAAATAATACCTAATAAAGTAAAATTAAATGCTAACCTAAGTTATCTAGCTGCTTGCCCTGTGGACTTATGCCAAAGGAGATCAGTCAAGTCCAGGAATGCTTTCTGAGGAAGTTAGGACTAGATTTGTGTCAGTCTTCCCTCTAGGGAACCAAGAAAGAAGCAAAATAATTTCCAGGAAATGAAAATATCATTGAAATGGGAATGAACAAGCTATACTGAGGGACAAGGGAGGTGATTAGAGTAGAGACAGTGTTCCAGAGAAAATGGAAATAGGGTTGGATAATTAAATTAGTATCACACTATAAAGTATCATCAAAGCTCATGGGAGAATTTAGACTAGACACAAATACAGAATAAAATTATTAAAGCTATTGGAATATTAAATTAAATTTATTAAACATTTACTGCACAAAAGGCATTGTGTTGTGCTTGGTTCTGCCAGAGATCCTATGATATTTAGGTTGAATAAAAACCCCTAGCTCAAAAAAACAAAAACAAAAAACAAAAACCCTAGCTCTATTAACAGAGACCCAGATCAAGCGAAGAGTAGGATCAAAAGGAAAGGTACATCCTGCGTTTCTCCATAGCGGTCAACCAAACAGTGGTTTTGGACTATCTATTGTGTGGTGTCACAGAGTAACAAAAGATTTGTAACATAAAGCACCAGTTCATAGAGGGTCCCTAAACTATCTCTTGGGAAAATAGATACTAAAACGATAAAATTCTTATAAATGAAAAAAAAAAGGAGTTAACTAAATTCCCTAAGCTCACACATCTAGAGAAGTATGGGGAGGTTTGAAGCTCATTGGAACTAATGACATTTCAGGGAGAAGACATTTAAATATTGGGGGGCGGGGGTGGGAATTAACAGAGAAACCGTAATCTGAGTCAAAAAATCTGGATTCAGTTCTTAAATTTGAGTGTCAACTGCTCATCATTCATTTTCCAAATGTATATCACCTCTCAGAGGATAGCGTGGTGGGTTAATTGAAATGCATAGTAGCACGCAATAGATATTAAATATTATTTAAATCTGAATCTACCTAGAAGATAAATTTTGCTTACTTCAGAGTTTTCATAAGATGTATCCCTGGCCTTTATATAGTCAACTATTAACTCCTGAAACACTGTGGTCTACTCCCTCTCCATTGAGTCAGAGTGCAGGGAATCTTGGTGAAAAGAGAGCCCCTGTCCTCTAAGAAGCACCAAAAGCACCTTCTCTTCATTGTAACTCAGCCATCCTTGACGTGCAGCAGGTCGGTGCAGTGTGTTCCAGTCAGCTTTAACTCCCCCTCTCTTTTTCGTATCAGATGATCCTCTTTTCTGCCTGCTGCATCTGTGGACTCATTGGGGGCATCTTGAATTTTCAGTTCCTTCGGGCAGTGACAAAGAAGACCTCTTCCCTCTATCCCCTGCATCTCGCGTCCATGTCTCTTGCGTGCATTGGGATCGGGGGCTGCACCCTCTCTTCGTGGCTCACTTGTCGACTAGCCAGCTATGAACAGAGGAGGATGTTCTCAGAGAGGGAGCATTCTCTGCATCACTCTCATGAAATGGCTGAGAAAGTGAGTTTTGTACCCCTACCTCTCATTGCTGTCACATGAAGACTGCAGTCAAATCTAGGTGAATCAACTTGCAGCTTTAGATGAGAATTTGAGGAATTGGATTTTATAAAAATTTGGCCCTATTGGACTAAGAATAGGAATTTTAAATTATTTTTTCCCTGTAATTCTGGGCACACCTATTTTTGACATAATTTTCTCTATATAAAAACACAGCTCCTAAAATAGAACTAATAAAATATTGAATGTCTTATAAATATGGATTTTTAACGTATTGTACTGAGGAAAAACATAAACTAAAAACACTCTCAACTCAATAATATCAGTTTTAGAAATCTGATGGCTTCTCCTTTCTAACTCACCCCTTGTGCTTGTAAGTAGATGCATTTGATTATGTAAATTAGATTTTCACGCATAAAGGGGCCTTTTAATAAGGCAACAAAAAGCCCTGCCTATCAGTGCAGATATTACAATACACATAAAGCTTCATTTAATTCTCATCTAAGCTTCATGCATATTTGGGTAGCTTTGCCTGTATTTTAAATAATGTTCCTTGCATAATTGTTTCATGATACCCATTCAAACAAGAAGTTACATTTATTGCATCAAAGGACAAATGATATAGTGAGCTGTCTGTGTTTCTTCTACATTTTGCCCATATTTCTTAATTCAGCTCCTGCTACTGGATCTGTTAAGGAAAAGATAAAACATTTGTAAAATAAACTCACTAACATAATGGCCACATCACATTTTACTTGATATCATGGAAATAAAATTGTGTAACAACAGAATAGAAGAAAGAGTAGCACAAGTTACAATTGCATACTTCTTTATAATGTGATTTTGAGAAAAATATTCTGTAGTTTATGTGTTTCCCTTTCATATACAATTTATACACTCAAGTAAGGAGAGTAGATGCTCTTAAATTGTTCCCAGAAAGCAATTTTAAACAGATCTACATGTATCCTTCAAAAAAGAATTAATAGTCCAAATAGCAGGACTGGTAATTTAAAGAAATGGATTGTTAAAAATAGGTTATCATTATATATTTGGATAATGGCTCTTTTGTGCTCTATTTTTATATTAGTGTGATTTAGGTTTCTGTGTCTATGCTTGTGCAATATTTATTGTATGATTGTTATATTTATATTAGAGATTGAGGGCTATTGAAATAACCGACTTGCCCAGCTGCCCGGTGGTGCCCCCGACACCAGAGTTACCTACAAGGTACGCTGATTTCTAGGGAGTTACCATGTTGTAATGTCACTGCAGGAAGCACTGCCTCTTCTAGGAAGCCATGATGTCAGCAGATCAGTCTGGACTGATGCTGTGATATTGTTCCTCAAAGTATTGCTTTTGTGAGAACTACTTTGAGGACCTGATATAAACCAACATGGCAAAGTCTTGCAGCTTGAAAGTTGGTTGAGTATTTAAAATATTCAGCCTGCCTGTGAGCATCCAAACACATTTCTGCTTGGATGACTTGTGACTCCTTTATTCTCTGCTACATCATGATTCTGACTCGATATCATCATTCACAGACCAGAGTTTTGTTTTTAATAATACATGTGTCTGATAAAGGCAAACTTTGTATTGCTCTCATGCTAAAGCTGCATGAGTAGATAACTTAAGTTTGACACTAATACAGTAAAAATACTGTATAAAAGCTTTCTTCTTATAAACCTATCTGATATGATACATTTCAAATTTATTTCCCATATTTTATACTTCTGAAAATAAATAGTCACCATTCTTGCTTTGGTTAAAAAATATAATAAGAAATACAGGGAGTCACACAGATACTATGGCCCAATTGCAGAAAGTATATCCACTTGCAAACAGTCACAGTTGGTCCTGCCCAAATTTAAAGTATAATCTTTTGCTAAATTGGACATGCCTATCTGCAAATAAACTGAAGATACTTGACCACTTAAAAACTAATTTTCACTGTTTTTTCCTACCAGTGATTTTTCTGTGTCTATATTAGGGTGACTTTAGTTAAGAAAATTCTTTCTTTTGGTAAGGTTTTTAAAAACTGGATTTTTTTCTTAATCCCACAATAAAAGTTTATACCTTAATTTTTTATGATTATTTTTAAGCTACTTTTTGAATGCAGAGTTATTTTAGGAGAAGTAAAGGCATCTATGAATCTTCTATAAATTCCTTAGAAAATTGTTTTTGTCCTACTAGAAGGAATAGAAATAGATGGATGAGTAAATTTTATTAAAGATCATTTTGGAGAGATCATTTCTATTTTTCTTGCCACCAGTAGCGAGTTTTTAAATGAACCTCAAATCAGGTATCTTATCAATAAACTTACCCTAAGCCCAATAACCCCAATGTATTATCGGACCTAATTTCACAGTATATATCTAGCAGAGACAGCCTCTCAGTTATAGTGAACCATTGCCAGACCGTAGAGGCAGGCTATTGGCGCCCAAAGAACTTCTCCACTTTTTGTCAGAGCTTTTACCCTAAACTGGTATGAGATTTTAGGCCTTAGGTGATTCCTCAGCACCTTATTAGGGTAGGTATAGTGGATACCCACATACAACACTACCCTTATGGCCTGGAAGGGGCAAGCCACTTTGCATGGAGAGATGGGTCTTGACGTGAGAAGAGGAAGAGTCTTCTTTGCATATTGTCTTCTTCTTCAGCATTTTCTTGACGGTAGCTCTACCCCGTGTTCTAAAAGACACCAAAGTTTTCAAAAGCAAAGTTCCAAAATCAGACCAATTCCTACCTTCCAGTCCCTCACTGATTCTCCTAAGCAACTTTCAAAACCACCAAATCCAAGAAGTAAGCATCTGTATTTTACTCCATCTCCTATATTGAGTTTTCAAGGAGAAGATACTAAAAATGAGGCATGTGATATCTTTTCATTTCTGAAATAAAGATTTGGAAGAATTTCTAAAGTTTACAGAAGCAAACACATTACTTTTTACTTTTAATTCACCCAAACAGAAAGTAGATATACCTGATAGGCTTAAGATCATTGAGAAAATAATTTATTTCAATTGGAGTCCTCTTTACAGCTCTTTTGCAAATAGGCTTGTTCAAGTGGGGAAAGATGTTTTCATCTATTTTTAGATAGTTTTGCCTAAATATTATTTATAATATGGTGCACTAACCATTATAAATGTGAATGGGCCTCACATGTCCTCATTACCTTTTATTGTGTAGGGAAGAGTTTAACGTTTAACAAAACATATGAATTCAAAGCATCTGAATTTTTCTTAAATTAACATATTTTCTAAAATTGCAAGTGAAACTTTTTATGTAAGTTCATTCTTGATATCGAAATTTCTGTTGCCTTCCCATGTAGTTTTCCTTATTAACTACTTAGTAATTGATCTCTTAAAAAACATGTTAAGAGCTTTTTTTCTAATTTTTATTTTTTAAATTTATTTTGTGTGTGGTTTTTTTCTTAACATCTTTATTGGAGTATAATTGCTTTACAATGGTGTGTTAGTTTCAGCTTTTACAGTTTGTTTTTTACTGTATGAGTGAAGTGTCGTGAAAAGCAATCTGTCCTACTATGAATTATTAGTGATCTTCAGTTACAGATAGGCAATCCCCTGGTGGACATTTTTCAGTTCTTCACGAAAAGCCCACACATTTTTCTATAGAGCAAAAGTAACCCCTAGAATCTGTTGGCATTTTGTTGACATGCTCAACAGAGGAACCTATACATTGAAAAAACTTAAGTATTTAACCATCTTCTTTCTAGGTGAGGTCTTTCCAAAACAGAGTTGAGGGCCGAGAGGGGAGACTAAGGGGGCTGGGGAGAGATTGAACTGTTGCTGTGGGTAGAAGACTTTGGTCTAACAGACTGTCACTTCAGTGTTTCATGGGTTCCAAGATGCCATGAAATTTCATTTCCTCAAATTCAGCAACAGCACTAATCCTTGTCCTTCCCCAAAAGTCAGCAAGTTTTTCAATGGCTTGAAATTTCTGTTTTGTAAACCCATTAATCAAATTAATGCCTTACTCTGAAAGTGAATTTTAATTAATTCATGTTATTTTCCTAACAGGAAATGACAGACAACATGAGCAATGGAGGACCACAGCTGATATTTAATGGAAGAGTATAATCAATATTTTAAACAACTGAACGTTTTTTAAGATTTTCACGAGGCAAAGAAATACCAAAGGACTAGGAGATAAGTTAAAACAGTTCTTGCCTTTGCTGTTATCTCTCCTGAGTACTTACTAAAATTATTCTTCCTCAATTTTGCCTCACTTTACTTCTTCAGCTTTTTTTTACTGGTGAAAAACTTTCCAGAAATGTTCTAGTACAGTAATTTCAACCAACTTTCCAGATTGTTCTAAAAAAGACTTTTCAGGAAGAAAAAAAAAGGAATAGATAAAATAGAAAGATTCATATTCTACACAAACACTATTTGACTAGCATGAGTGTTAGATTTGTAATGACATATTTCATATAAGTAATTAAAAAGTGCAAATATCAAGAAATAATAATTTATTGATGTCTTTGTTCTGAAAGACGATGGCTTCAAAGAATGCCACAATTTAAAACCTCAGCAATGCCTTGTTATAAAATCATTGTAATTATTTTCAATTTGTGAATGAACTATATTTCATAACTTATTTGTAAATTACAAAAAAAAAAAAACACCCTAAAACATAAAAAAGAGGTTTTTTTAGAGAGACAATATTAATCTGTATGATATTTTTGCATTTTTCCACAGAGTGAAAAGTTATAAATGAATATGTTTTGATTATACTGTGTAAATTGATGGGCATGTTCATGAATGAGCCTAAGAATAAAATAAAGTATGTGTGTGTGTGTATGTGTGTGTATATATACTGTAAATATAGAAAATATATATAGGACATATTTATAGCATTGAATGTAAATGAGTAGTAGAAAGGAAATTGTGGTGTTGTGGGGATATTGTCAAGATTCTATTCCCACAGAAATGGGAGAGCAATTGTTCAAGGCTTTTCTATGCCCACAAAGTCACATTTAATTTCTACTAAATTTTTTCAGTTTTATTTCTTTATTATGTCTGCTGTATGTAAATATCATTGTGGCTGATATTATGGAGTTAAGTGATCTGAATAGTGGAGTATCAAGATAGATTGCTTAATTATTTGGCCATTTTACTATTATTATGATATTTATGTAAGAACAATTATTAATATTGATTTATAAGCATAACAACTTTAATTCAAATACTTTCACATTTATAAATATAGACAGAATGACTTGCAATTATTCATGTTATTTATATTTCAAACACTTTACAGCTCAATTAAATTATATAAAAGGACAGATGATGTACGCCCAAAAGATGCAGGTACAATTAGCTTTGTTAGAATTTAATTTAGGTTTTTTGGTTTTGTTTTACAATTCACATGGAAAAATACAGACCATTTTTTAAGAATGCCTATATCCAAAGAACCTGAAAGAGTTCTCTGTAGAAGGAAATTAAAAGATAGGCTTATATTTACACAGCTAAATTCAACCCTCTCTTCCATAACGGAATGTTAAAATAGTAATCTATGACACGACATATAGGGGAGAAAATAGCTTGGTCTTTGAAAATATTTGTGAGAATATAACTTGTGGCAACAGATAAAGAAAGTATCTATTTTAAAATATATAACTCATTGTATTGTACACTTTTATTATTCCGCAAAGCTAATCAGTTTTCAGGTCATTTTTTATGAGTTACTTACTGAACAATAGGTAAATTAGCACCTTTAATATCCAGTATGAGAACATGTTATAATTTAGAAGCAAAATATAGGTTTTAGTTGTGCTAACAAAATAAAAATAATGCCAGTTAATGGAAATCTGAAGGTCTTTTAGTTTTATAACAACCTGATCATCACCTACCCTATTTAAATCAGCTTATAAAAAATCTGGTTGTATATGTTCAAAAGAAATGACGGAACTGTGGTTGTCTGGTGTAGTTTTTTAAGTCTCCCAACTCGTATGAATAACTTCACTAGCCAGCAGATTTACAGAAGTGGCCCACAAATGCAGCCTCAAATAATAAATCAACTTCACTTCTGTTTATTTGATGCCATAAATAGGCATGATCTTTGTCACTGAAAATCTATACTATATAATGCAGGTATTTTGTGTGTATATGGTTCTCCTGATTTTATGCAAGGATGTAGTTTTGTACTAAAAGAATAACCACTGACTCTAATTTTAGGTGGCATTTCTTTGTAGACATGTTTGTACAATACAGAGTTATAATACATCAATAAGATGTTTTAATTTCTTTTGAAATGATATATAAAATCACCCATTAAAGGACAAAAGTAGGCATATCACTGCTTAGACATAGAGTTAAGAAGAGATGCCATCATCACAGTTATTCCAGTAGTCTACAGTGTATTTAACCAAGTATAGATGTATCTTTAATGTAATTATTTTAACTCAGTAGTTTCAGGACTCAGTTATTTAGAGTGATTTATTTGGGATATGTAGTGATTCTTTTTGAGATAAGTAGGGGAAGTTAGGAAGACATTGTTCAAGTACTTAAAAATTTAATTTTCATAAAACATTGAACTATGAACTAGAATACTTTAAGTGACCACATTACAGTTTTAGCATGAGCCCACACTTGGGAAAAAGTAATGTGATACTAAATTAGAAAAAAATATGTGAAACTAATGTGGTGGTGTGCTGTAGAGACTAGCTACAGGAAGGTGCAGTAATTATAAGCATAAAACAATAAAAGTGGACTCTGCCTGAAAAATTTTCAACATATGTGTGTGTGTCTCTACACATACATATATATAATATGAACTGCTTAGAAGTGGGACATAGTATGATGACTCTGTTGATATGTCTATATAATAAATGGTGTGTTTTGAAACTACATATGGTGTGAGCTTTCTTTCCATCACGATACACAAAATAATTTCCCCAATAACTTGATGAATAGATGTGCAGTTCTGAGTTTGGCAGGGGACAGGATGCTGTGAATGAGGAGAGGACATGGGATTAAGAAAGGGCGTTTAATCTTTCCTGTTTGAGCAAATGGGAAAGATTAAAGTACGCTCTAATGTAGACAGGAAGTGGTTGAAGATACAGGATAAAATGAGCATGATAAAAGAAGGTGAGATCCCTAAAGAGGCAGGAGGAAATAGGTTAGAGATCATAGGAGACAGAATTAACTAGAGACAGGAGATCTCACAAATGAAATCTTTACTTGAAGTATTTAGAGAACTCTGCTGACCTATTTGGATTTGTCAGATTGGTTGCTACTGGCATTTAGGGTGGACAGTAGTTCACTGTGCAGACTGTGCTATGCATTTCAGGCCATTAAGCATCTCTGGCCCCCACCCACTAAATGCCAGGAGGACATTTCAGTTGTGACAATAAAAAACTATCCAACAAATTTGCACCTATATCTTTGGTAGGGAAGTTTTGCCCCCGAATTTAGAAGCACTGAGGAAAACCCTTGAACATGATCCAGAGCAACCAATGTTAGGGCTACCCACAAGTGTAAATGTGAATTGCTCAGGGTCATAAGTTCACTGTTCTAAGGTCTAACTATATTATCTGATACAGTCGTCACAATCCTATCCACATGTGATTATTTAAATTTAAACAAATTAATTAAAACAAAATCAAATATTCAGTTTCTCAGTTGAGCTAGTCACGGTCCAAGTGCTGAACAGCCACATGTGGACAACAGGTATAGAATAGTTTTCATCATCTCAGAAAGTCCTATTGGACAATGCTAGTCAAAAGCACATCGAAGAGAATGGTTCCTCACCCTCAGTACTTATAAAACTTCTTCCACAGTCAGCCAATTATCATTAGAACAGAATGTGTGAAAAGAGTTCGTAAACACTCCATGGAATTTGAAGTTGATGAACCAGTTAAATCCAAGGACTGAACGAAACTAGCAAAAATACAATGTAGGTCAGACACGTAGTAAAGTTAAGTTGCATTAGAGATTTCATGTTTAAAAACAAAATCTGTTCATGCAAAGATTCCACTAAATGATTAAATATTTTATGTTTGACAGATAAAGTGAGATGTATAACTCCTATTTTCGAAGACATTTATTCAGCTTATCACCATGTGTCAATGGAAAATTCTGCATTTCTTGGGCTTGAGAAGGTGAGAACAGTATGCTGCCCTCTACTCTTTTCATTGACTTAGCTTGAAAGTGGCATGTTTAGAACCACATTTTCAAAAATTATTTAGCAAATACATTTCAGAAACTTAGAGCATCTTAAGTACCATTTGGTTAGAACACCGTTTCCAAATAAAGTTTCAGAACTTGGCATCACTTCACTCTTTTCTCCCTTAAATCATTTTTCTGGAAACATATGTAATATTTCTTACTCAAAGTATATGACAGCCAAGAAGTGCAATTATTCCAAGTCCATAAGTCACACGTCATCAGTTACTCACAGCAGAGGAAACCAATTCAGAAATTGCTGGAATGTGGATGCCTAGTAAAGTTATACAAAAGGATTTTTTTAAAACTCTTTTTGTCAGGAAAATTATCTACTGAATACAAAATCTTTTACTAGGAATGTAATTCCCAAGGAATATATTGTGAAAAGTCAAATTCTAGATCTAAAAAAATTTATTTCACTATTTTAACAGTTCAGTATTATCTACATCAATTAACTATAGGCAGATCTAGGAGCATCTTCACTTTCCTTCACATTAGCTAAAGACTACTGATTTCAAAGCTTTTCCTGCCTTAACATCCAAAGGCTGTGCATCTCTAGCCACACAAGGCATCGCAAGCCTTACCCCCAAAGCCAAAATGTACTGTGTTACTGAAAATTGCTAGAGAGACTCTAGGAGCTTCACAGAAAAACCTAAAATCATGTCAAATTTGCATTGTTTTTTATTGACTACAGTGATCGCTCCTTGTTATTAATCAGGATATTGGTCCCCACCTACTCACTAAGGCAGGGGACCTCAAACGTCATTCCACAACCTCTGGGGCTGAGGCTAGAAGAAATCCCTTGGGCCCTCCAAGCTTACTGCCCAGGCAAGAAAGCCACAGCCCTTTGCGGGTGGCTATACAAGCCAACACTGTCCTTCACTCTGTCCCTTACTGTGAATCAGCAAGAAAAGAGGTAACATTCAACCTTATTCACATAAACGGACTTGAAGGGCCCTATGCTGCTAGATGTCCACTGCCCCATCACTATCCCCAGAGTCTTTCAAGATTTGGACATATCTGTCTTTTCTGTCTTGTAAGTGTATTAATACTTTTAATACACATCACATGTGTATTATACAATCAATATCTAAGCAGAATACAATAAAGGCTCTGTGTCCTTTATAATAAAACAAATTGCAGGAAAGAATACCAAGTTTTCAAGTCATGATAGAGAGGCAATATCAGCCTATTGCCATCTGTCAGCAAAACCTATGGTGGTGTAGCAGGTAAAAGACAACCATTTATTAAGTGCTATTGTAATGTACATTGTCTATAAATGTGACTATTCCTCTGTCACATTAAGAGCATTTATTTTATTTGAAATAAAGAAAAGGTGGCAAGACATCAGTATTTCACCCGAAAGGTGAGGTCATTTCTGGCTGTAACCGTGACTCTTAAAGTCATTCAACCAAATCATGCAACTTATATACACTTAGGTCTAAAACACAAACCACAACTCCACTGCATATGAAGCACTCCCCTTGACTTGTTCTGCTTCTTCTGATTTCAGATCCAATATCTGCTCTGTGGTGCTACCTTGATTTTGGTTTCTGGCCCCTGAACTTGAACCCGAGACTTTATCTCTCTGGTTGTCAGTCTTTGACTGCCACAGC